ATTCAGGCATATTTTCTCATCGTTTCCTATTAGTTCAAAAAATTGTTCTGTTCCTATAGTTGACAAGTGTGATATACTAGAATAATAAAATTTTTTTTAAATTACACAGGCCGTGTTTCAGGCATTTCTCCATCTGCATCATGCTTAAAGAAAAATTCCAGTCCATCTGCTCTACAATGATGCAGACACTATTTCATTTCTCGATTCTATGTACCAAAAATGTATACTCTAAGTTTCATAGTTGTTTGGGCCTGGAAGGGACCTTACATTGGGATCCAGCCCCCCTGCACTTAGGCAGGAAAGACCACTAGGGTCAGATGACCCCAGCAAGATGGACATGAAGATGCTTTTTGAAGATCGCCAAGGTGGGTGACTGTACCACCTCTGGGGGGAGCCTGTTCCAGACCCTCAGTACTCTACTTGTAAAGAAGTTTTTTCTTATGTCTAGTGTGAAGCAATCTTCAATCAGCTTGTGCCCATTATTTCTAGTCCTCCTTTGGGGGGCCTTAGTGAATAGTTACTACCCCAGGCCATAATTTGCTGGGTTCCAAGCATATTTCTACAGAAAGGGTCCAGATAAAGAGACCAACACTTATTTTTGAACAAGTTATGGTTTGGTTTTTTTGCTTTCAAAGAGTGTAAAGGTGATGTACTTTCTGTAGGACGGTCATGAATTTTAGCTGACTAGAGCCTGTTTCATCCTAGTGGAGGAGTCGTAATAGCAGGAATATCTGTCCTGTACTTAAAAACAAAAATACTCCTTTCATTTTCAATTACACTTGAATATTTTATGTAATTGTCAGTTCTCTTGTATTTTATAGCCTTTCTTTAGCGTTTAGCTGGGAATAGGATTCTTCAGCTCTAAAGCCCTCGCTTTAGACTTGTTTAAATTTACTTGCACTTAAAACTGTTTCACCCTCCATTCACACAGTAGAAGTAGCTATTTTTAGGAATAGTTCTGAGTGTGCATACAGTTAGGTTAGTTATTTCTTAAATCATTATGCTTGTTCATTTTAAAACATTTAATAAATTATAATTAGCCTCAGCATTACAAATCACTGTGGTTTCCTCAACTATGCAAGTTACATTCTTCTTGTGAATACAGTCTGTACCATTTCACAGATTGGTAAACTCATTTTAATTTATCTGGGTCAGTCTTGAAGTCCTAGAACTTTAGCAGTTGCCTACTGTAGAAAGTGGTTCACTATCCTCTGCCTTGTATACAAATTTTAGAAGAATCGAGCACTTTTCCTTTTACTGCAAAGCTAAGGTTCAAAGAAAAAAAAGTCTAGAAAGGTTAAAACATTACATTATTTCCTAATATATTTACTAACTTTGATTATCTGTTTCATCACCTAACCACATTTTGTGTAACTATCTTTTTTCAGACACGAGGTTTCAATTCTCTAATACTTGCCTAAAATTAATTTAGAATCAAATCCTTATTCAGTCCTGATAATATTCCTTTGAAATTTTCTTGAGTATAGATCTCAGATATTGTTACCACTTTCATAGTTTATGTATTTGTGAACTGTTCCTTTAGCCAATTACCTTTTAATTAATTCCTCAATTAGAGTTCTCTTTCATTTCAGGTTTACAATTATAGCAACTCACTTCCTCATGTAACAGTAATGCTCATTTATAGAACCTTTTACACAGTCCATATGCTTGTTCTAAATTTTAATCACAGACACCAATTCAAAATATGCAGTTAAAACGCATATTCACGCCCCCATCTCATCTACTCAAACACAATCTGCCTATGCAGGCTTTATATCACAGTAACCATTAGAAAGATGCATTAATATCCAGGATTTCATTCAAAATTTTATGTCTGCAATGGACCTTAGTTTTGATAACTATAGGAAATGTAGTCGGACTAAGCTACATAACTGTTCCTATAGTAGATAAGTATGATGCATTAGAATAATAATGTTTTTAAAAATGTACACGGGCCCTTTTTCCAGCTTTTCTCCACCTGCATCATGCTTCAAAAAAAATTCCAGTCCATATGCTCTGCAATGATACAGGCACCATTTTATTCCTGGATTCCAAGCACCGTAAGTGCAGACCTTACGTTGCTCGGTTCCAAGCAATATTTCTACAGGAAGGGCCTAGAGAGGCCAACACACATTTTTGAACAATCCATGTTATTTTTTTTGTTTTCAAAGAGTGTAAAGGTGATGCTCTGTAAGGTGCTCAGGAATTTTAGCCGACTCAAGCCTATTTTGTCCTAGTGGAGGAGTCTATACACTTCAAAACATTATGTGTAAACCCCCCTGAAACACATGAAGGGATTGCCCTGTTTCATCAAGAGTACATTCAGACCTTTTAAACTGTAGTTTTCACTAGTGTAATGTTTGCATAGTGACTTGTTTTCCAAAATAAATTCACTATTTTCTATTCAATTGATAACTAAATGCTAGGACATATCTGTTATCAAGAGAACTATAGTAAAATCACAGTTTTAAGATTTTGATCCTGGCAAGCTTTAGTATACAATGAGACCTATTTTGATGACTAGATACTCATGCAAGATTAGCTTTTTTATTTGTAAGGCTTGGTGTTAAAAAGGTAAGGGTGGGTACAATATCCAAATGGTGGAAGCAAAATCCAATTTTCTCAAAGGAAAGGGAGTCCCCTTGCTACAAAATTCTGAGATATGCATGACTACTTGAATAGGACTCAAATTTGCATGAAAGCTGCACAGGAATTTGTCTATAATCAGAACTCCATGAAAGTCTTGTTTACCTTCTTTACAGCAAATATTACAGTTTTGAGATTCTGACAATTTACTTCTCAAATCCATAAATTACAGTAACAAAAATCTCAGTGAAAATTCAAGAGAAAACCGTCACAAAGGAAAGCAGCATTCAGGCCTTGAGAGAATAAATAAGTTATCTTAAAAATTATGCTCTCTGATGCCTTTGCCAAGCTTACTGATAAATAAGTACATTCATGTGGGAATACAAGCTTTTCTTTTGCCTACTGAATTCAAAATACAAATAGGCACTCTCCACACACCTCAGAAAATTATTTTCATCCAAATACAAAGTAGTAAAAATGTAACTAGTTTATGCTGAACTTTATAAACATTGTTTCTTTAAATCTCATGGTACAGGATACAAATCAGCATAGACTCCAGCTCTGAATCTTTTCTTCCCAAGAGAAGCCTTTTATTTAACCTACACCCAAATGGCAGGAACTACTTTACTGATAACACCAAGAAGTAACTTTATGACTTGGATTCATTTAAAAACCTTCTGTTCAACTTTAATTATTGGAACGATGTAAAATTTCTAACATTTTATTCATTTAGCAGCAATGAGATGCAGGAAACAGAAAAGGAAATATTACAAGTAAAGCCTGACCCAAGCATACCATTTTAAATTATAGACTACAGTCTTGTAAGCGAAAGATGGCTAACTTTCCTTTGGAAGAGAGGGTCTACCTTATTAGAAAATCTAGGCGTCCTAGAATGAAAACCAGTATCAGCCTAATTATGTATTTGTTAAAATATAGTCTTCTGTATTGTAACAGATTGAATTTGTTTAGGATGAAATCAAAGCATCCCATACAAAGTTTTCCCATCAGTGATCTTGATAGGTGACTAGATTTGTCTATTTGGTATTTTTACTTGGTGAAGACAGGAAGAGAAGAGAGAAGTTAACTATAAAATTCTGAGACAACTAGTTGTAACCGATATAGAGCAGCAGTGACAGAAATCAGATGCTTTTCTTTGCATCCAACTGAAATCCTCTCTCTCATGCCCAGTTTAATGAAATTAGGCAGCATGCAAGAAAGGGCAGATTTGGCCCATAAAATCATAATGACCCTTCCTAGGAGACCCTACTCTTGGCATTCCAGGTGCAAGTCATGGAAGGGACTTCAGGACATCAGCAATATCAGGGGTGGGCAAAACGCAGCCCAGGGGCCGGATGTGGCCCACCCAGCCATTCTATCCAGCCGGCAGGGCCCCTAAAAAATTTAGAAAGATTAACATTCATCTGCCTGGGCTGCCTGTCATGTGGCCCTCTATGTCTTGCCAAAACTCAGTAAGCGGCCCTCTGCCCAAAATAACTGCCCACCCCTAAGCTATATAGTCAAATATAAATCAGTCAAATAAGCAGACTGCTTACCCCCATTCACCCAGGCTCAAGGCTCTACTGCTGAAGGCACTTGGTAGGGCCAGATGAAAAATTGCATTATATTAAAAGGATAAAGTTAGACGTTTTCCTTAGCTAGCAAAACATCCCTTTTTGAGTACTGGGGTCTTAGACTTGTGCAAGGTGTAAGCGTTACTGGTTATAAAAAGCCCACAACGAATCATCATGTGGGTTCCTCAAACAGTGGCCTCCTTCCTCTCTACACAGATTTTTGCTCTTCCACAAGAGAACACCTAATCATCGACACAAGTGAAGACTGATATGCAAGACAGCACTTTTAGGGTAAATCTCCATGTACTTTTAATAGAAAGCAAAATTTCCAGGGGCAAGTAGTAGTCCGCCAAACTTCCACTAACAGCTCTCTCTCTCTCTCAGAATTTGATGGGGAAGGAGTTTCAAGATCATCTTCTGGCCTACGAAGACACGTTACTTTAAAACTTAAGGCTTCCCTTGTCTTCCTTTCCCAATCCCACCTCAAGACAGTTCTGCAACTAAGTTGTACATCTGACAGACAAGTCTAAAATCAAGACTGCTGTGAATAACTCCATTAACTAGATTGTAGACATAAATTTATTGGAGTGGTAAGCTAGATAACTTGATTCTCTGGCACAATCTGTCTGCGAGTCTTTTATGTTTGTTCAAAATGCAGCATTTATATAGCAGCAGTCTTTAGTTGCAGTCCATATTCTTTATCATTACCTGCCTGATATCTTGTCCGTCAGTGGTTAGTTGCATATTGGCACTATAAATCCTTTTCTGTTGATTTTACTGCTTTCATAATACATTTACATCTGAGTGACATTCTTCTTTTCTGAGATTAATGATTCAGAAAAATTTATTGTTATCAACTTTTATTACACTTTCTACTAAGAAGTTTGCAAGTAGAACACGTATATTTGAAAATAATTTAATATATTTTCTTCCGTGTACAGGTCAAAGTACATTCGAAGTGTCATTTTAATTTTATACCTCTTAATGAAAGTGTACACTCACTCAGATACAAAATAATCTCAAGCCATGAGTATTTAACATATGTATTGTAGTGTTCCAAACAAGACAAGTGCCACAAACTACATATTCTGCAACATGTTGTATGTATACTATACTTAAAAGTCTTCAGCAACATGACAAACAGAATCTGCATTTACTCCAATTACAAAACAAAACAAATATATGACAAGTTATGGCTTCCATTTGTCCACTTTATGCTTCCTTTCTTTTGATGATCAGAGGACCAACGTTGTCCCCAGTTTCTTCATTGTGCTTTGTGTGAGAGCCATCGCACAGTGGAAACTGAAAAAGAAAAGGGAGGTTGAATAATTAAGTCTGAAATGCACCCATTTTAGCTTGTTTTTCCTTCTTTATGCCTGTAATACTTAACACTGTAAAACACAACTTTACGTGGAAAATAACCTAAGTGATACCACAAGAATCTTTCAGTAATGTCACTTGAACTTTGATTAGGCATGTTTAAGGTTTGTTGCCATCACCTGCAAATGTATGACACACAGCAGGCAACATGAGGCATTTCAGCCCATCATGAACACTGGAATCCCCATCTCAAGTTCTCTGCCAAGGCAGCTGAACCATAGTGGCCTCAAATTTCCCCCCACCAAATATTCTCTCCTTTCTCCCTGCTTCCCAATACACATTGCAACAACTCAATCCTCTACTTCAACCCTAAAAATCTTACAGGTTAGAGAGAGGCAGGTCTATGCCGTCTCTGTGGCAAGCCCAGGGATGCCACCTAGAAGCGTGACCTGCCTACCTGCTCCCAGGATGTATGCACCGAAACCCCAGAATTTAGGCAGCAGAGCTATCTGAGGGCAGCCCTGAGCCTACCTTAAGCAGGACATTGCAGAGAACAGCTTTAGATACACCCTTTGGGTGCCTCTAAGCCAGGTACACTGCTGAAGTTCTCAACATTAGCGTGATCAGAGTGCAAGCAAACATGTATGCAGGGCACACTTTGTGGCAGTGCTCCCAGGCTTATCAGTGAGATAGTGTAGACATGTCACAGAACAGGAGTAGGCAACTGCCAGCACAGGTGCCAGGGTTTGTCACTCAAAGGCATTTTGTTTGGCACATGCCCCTTGGGGAGGACAGTGGGAAAGGGGCTGGGGCTGCACTGCCACAACACGGTTCAGACCCCTCACAGCTCCCCCACCATCTGCCCCTGGCACACCAACATTTTACAAGTCAAGGTTGCAAGCGTTTTGGGCACTCTGTCCAAAAACATTGCTGATGCCTGCCCTAGAAGCATTCGGACAAGTCCTTCTCTACATCCTCTCTCTATTAAGGATGAACACAAAATAAAAGACCAGGTCTACATAAGAACAAGGCTCACCAGTATAAAACTATACGGACAAACCCTCTTGGGGTGGAAACAGGTTACACCAGCTCAGAGGCCTAAATGAAGTATTCTAGTACTAATTTAACTTTTACGAAATTATGCTCTACCATGCATTCCTGGCATAAACCTGAGCAAAAGTATTAAGACTTTCTGTACAGAAGTGGGGATTTAAAAGCCATTCCCTTTTTCTGTAAAGGGCACTAGAACAGTCTTCGAACAGAACAAACCAACAGTAACTCCCTGAGCTAGGAACAGTAGATTGGCTCTTATGCTACTCCCAATAGCTCTCTTCCTGTGTGTGCTGGAGATAATACTTAAATGTCAACAGTGAGACTATGCCAGACCCAACTGCTCTGGGATGTCTTCAATCCCCAGATGCAATTGATGATCAACACTAAGGTTTGGGTAGCAAGGAACTGCACAAAGCCATTCCCTAATCTGCCTACTTGTCTTCATCCAACAGTATTCCGTTAGCTGCTAGTATTTCTGGGGTTATTAACTGTGGTTCTTAGTGCTGCTGTAAGCAGACCATCCAACTCTTTCTCAAAACTTGGTGGGAAACTCTACCTTCCTGGATAACCTGGACAGCATTCTGGGAAAGTAGTGGAGAACCATAAATGTTGAAGAACCAATATTATGAATGGTTGAGCTGGTTTTCAAAGCAGGCATGTAACTTATCCGACTATAACCACTACCTGAATTTTAAAACAAAAATTCCTGTTGGGCCACCCCATTCAGATGTAATCCACACTGGACTTGGGCAAAGACTATTAATTATCGACAGCAACAAACATTAGCCCTAATAGCAAAAGGGACAGCCTGAGTTAACCCTGCAATGAAAACAAGTCCTACCTGATGGAGGTCTGACAAGTCCTGCCTTCTCTCCCTTGATCGCCAAGACTTTCTACCTCAGCAACACTCCTGAACCACTGAAGGATCTCACACCCTTAAAACTGAATCATGTTTCTATTTACAGACCACACTTAGATATAGCAGAAGCCATCAAGGCAAGGAACTTGTTTAACTGAAACCTTAAAAACTAGCTTTTTTTTGTCTTTCCCCTTTGGGGAGCAATTAAGTTTTATTACCCAAACCCCATCCAAGTAACTTCCCACAGAACTCAATTAAAATCATTCCTTTATTACCAGGTTTAGGAAGTGTTGTATAGTATTAGAGGTTCAAAATAAAGAGGAATACTTTAAAAGTTGGTAGACAGTTGTTGAAAGATAGATAGTTACTAAATGACAAATGCTGGTACAAATAAGGGAAGAAGTGTTCACATAAAGGAAAGCATTTTAATTCTTGTAGAACATGAGTGTGGCAGTGTGGGCTTTATCACAAAAGCAGTCAATATGTTCTAGTGGCTGCATGCTTTAGTTTACTACTTGTCAAAACTTAAAAGCTAACAGGGGTCATGAAGTGCTGATAAAACATTGGTCTCTGCTGTTTCTAGACACTATCTGATTGATTAGAAATCCATCTTTAAAAACTCCCCTTCCGTGCCCCACCAGGTTCCATGAGAGTGGACGGTTACCAGCTACATAATATTTCACTGAACATATTTCAATGAAATGCAGACCTTAGAGAACCCATTCAAATTACAAGCCATCACAGCTGGTACATGCCATAGTTTGCACTCCACAGATAATATAAACTATAGAAGGATAAGCAAACATTTAGGTGATAGACAAAGTGTAACATGGTTGACAGGGGTCAGGGTTGTTTATCTTGTGTCACCTGACCCAGCAAAAGGTGCATATTCAAATACACTATAACTCTGAGTGTAACCTCTTGTCTAGCGTCACTGCAGCGCACAACAAAAACAAAAACAAAAGTAATTCTTATCAGAAGACCTCATTTTTCTACAAATACTTAAAACTTGCTGTCCTGCAATATCTGAAAACACAGCTTCTTATACCTATGCAAGGTAAAAAAAAAAAAGACACAAACTTCAACATCTTATCCAACTTTAGTTAAGACTAAGTTATGCTAACATTAGTTTTTTAGGTCCTCACTTAAAATAAGATGAGAAAAACTGGATGATGCTGAAGGTTAACACCATCTGTCCTTATTAAAAATGCAAATGCGCACAGCCAGATGGGCAGTCTACTAAAATGTAGTCATCCTCAATTTTTGTATAAAAGTATCTCATGCACAATATAGGGATGCAGTGGGTTCTGGATTACTTTGTTAAATCAACAGGGACTCTGCACCAAAGGCCACTATTGGGCAAGTTTTTTTGGAATGCAGAACAAAGCTTCCAATAGTATCAGATTCCACTGACAAATAGAGGTCAAATAGACCTATATGAATGAATACTCTGAACTAAGTTACATTTAGGATTTATTTTCAATCAAGTTCTCTTAACTTGTTCTTGTGAAACATACCGGTATGTAGTTTTCATATAAGCATACAGTGTTCAAACAAATCTTAACCATGTCCTTTGTAAAAAAAACATGTTATTTCACTATTTAAGAAAACTATAGAAGATATTTGTATTTCGTAGAACTGTTTGAACACCACCACTGAGGATTTAGCCAGTGGTTCTCAATCTTTTTAGGCACCCCCATTTTTTATTATTAGATTAGAGCAATTCTTCTGATGCCAAGAACTCAGAAAGACCACACCACAACAGGTGAGAATACTTTTAACATGATGGATTCCCATCATCTTGTGAATGATGTTTGCACACCTAGCAGTGTTAACACTGCATGGTACCCCGTGGCATCCGTGAAAGGGTCAAGGCACCCCATGGGAATTTGCATGACTGGGTGAGAATCACTGGTTTAGCCACTATATAGAAGTTTTTAGCTGGATTTAGCAAGTTCTTACTGCTGGCATATTTAGCATCTTTAGATATACTTCATCTGCATGCAACTATATCTGTATTTGATCAGTGACTGAGTGGAAAAGTAAACATTGTACATCATTTAAAATCTTAACTGTATGCAGGTAATATCGTGTCATGCATGCACTGCAATACAGTTTTATAGACTTTGTTGTATGTGCAAAATGAAGGTGTGGCAAAATTTTCAATGAGTTGCTCATTAACTACAAGATAAAATTCCTTAAAAATAAGGAAGTAGCCAAACTAATGTTTCCTGCATAGTCAACTGCAATAAAGCCATATCCATAAAGAGTGAGAACAGAGCAAAACCTACAGCCACTGTAGAGAATTACATCCTTTTATCTGAAAAATCTCCTTTCAAAACTAGAAGAGACTATTTAAGGACAATAGATCAAAACAGAACAGCAAAAAATGGAAACTACAGTCTATGAAGGAGTACACTGTGAAAGAACATCTAATTGCTTGTTACATATGCATTCACTGAGCTCTTTATAAAGCCTCTTTATTGAGCCCCCAACTAGCACAGGGGTGGCTAACCTGCAGCACAAGCAACATTCCAACCTGTCACACACAGGATGCCAGAGAGGACACACAGCATAGAAGTATATACGGCAGAGAGCAGAAAGCAAAACAGCTGACTGGGCAGTGGAAAAGGATCAGAACAGCATTTGAGGAGGGTGCAGAGTTAACTTGTGGCCAGCTGCCAGTCTGGCACTACTGAACTAACATACTGAAGCATTCTTTTAATGCAACAGTGTTCAGTCTTCTGGTCCTGCATGCTAGATGAGTGGTGTGGGTCTGGTCTGTGGGTCAAATCCAACACAGGAACAGCGCGTGCGGTTGGTCCACTGGTGCAATCCAGTGTGCTGGCCCCATTCTGCATGCCAAACCAATCTCATGCATGGTCCAACCCTATGTACCAGATGTAGTCACACATGGCGCAGTCTAGCAGGCACGGCCATGTCATCCAGCCCACAGGGCTCCCCATGTGTTAAGAAATTTGGCAGCAGCTGAACTGCAATTAATGTTACCACCATCCCTTATGTATTCAGCAACTCTGCATTTCAAAATGGCGTTCAATGAACTTTAGTTAAAGCGCCCGCGCCACCGTTTTGAAACATGGCACACTGAATACACAAGATACTGTGGGTGTTATAACTAGAGCAACTCTGGAGAGCCGCTCTAATTAAAAACACTCCCCACCAACCCTAGAATACATGTAAAAATGCCCTGAGTATGTTTACCTGGGTCAGAGGCCCTTAGAGGTGTCAAGCTTCAAACAATCACTAATTACAATTTCAAAGGAAAAAAAGACACCCAGACTTATCTATTGGGCTTCAAATAAGAAGGAAGTCTCATACTGAGGAAATCATTTTCCCTCTGGAATAAAGATTCCAAGGGAAATTTGAATAGGGCAGGGGTGGTCCAACCTTTTTGAATGTGGGGCTGGATCACAAACTTTATCACCCAGTGGGCCGGTGAGCCATATTCAAAGACGTCATAGGAAGTGGTATATCAGGAAGTGATGTCACGTGACCTTTGACACCAATGAATTTGCAGGGGTTGACATGGTGCTGGTTGACATGGCATGCATGCCCAGGTTGACATGGTGCTGCAGGAGCCGCTTGGCTACAACTGGGGTGACCTGGTGCTGGAGAAGCCATGGGGCCAGGCCAGGGTTAACCTGGGTCCTGCCCGGCCTGCCGGTGCCATGCCCAGGTTGACATGGTGCTACAGGACCCACCTGGGCAGAACCGGGTCAGCACCGGCCAGGAAAAGCAGCATGCAGCTGAAGCCGACTTCCCACGTGCTGCTGGGGACGGGAGGAGGCCGGCCAGGTCTGCACTGGCTGGCAGAAGTGGCAGCGGAGCTGTGTGCTGCTCAGGACTGACCAGTGCAGGCTCGTCCCGTCTCCAGTGGCACGGCTGCACCGCTGCTTCTGCTGGCCGGTGCAGACCCACCGCTTCTTGTCCCGCTGCACGTGGCCGCTCCCCCGGGCCCCATGGCGGGGTAAGCAGCTTCTGTCCCCCTGCTGCCGGCTGTGGGCCACAGGCCGGCTCTGCCCGCCTTGCAAAACTCCATGGAATTTGATTGTTATGCCACAAGCAACCTGCAAAAATTGATAAGTCTAACCACAATTTAAGTAGACCTCTAATATTGTTTTCCTTGTGTACTGCATCTGTGAAGTGGTAAGAGTTCTTAGCTTTGCAATGCTCCACAATTTTTAGCTCCAAACTGGAAAGTTCCTAATATTTTAGTTCTTAGAATCAATATTTAGATTAAACACAAAACAAAACAAAAAAACCCTTTACTTCTTCATTCAGACTCCAGAGTACCAATGCAGTCTGTTTAACTATCCTTCAGACATGCACTACTAAACAATACGATACCATGTTTAACACTGACTTCTGGCAAGTATGATAACCCAATTTTATAAGCTTCAGCACAAAAATTGTACCTGCAGTGCCAAAATTCACAACCAAGGCTTACTGCCTTAATGAGTCACATCACAAGCCCCAGACATTTAAATTAGGCCAGACAAGTTTGGACCATAAATGGTGTTCACAAGCCACTGAGTAGAATCACAGATTGGGAGATTAAGGTTTGAAATTTAAGCCAAGTTTGGTGGCACGGTTTCATTGCTTTTTTGGTATTTGTTTACAATAATCTACATAATGCATCTGAGCCTTTGGCACTCAAGTTTAAAATGTTGCCTTTCAAAAAATAAGCTAAGAGCTTGTAAAAAGAGGGAGACATTTTAGATCATTTCAGGTACCACTGGAAGAGATCCATACTTCCATTCAGTAGTAGTGTGGAAGGTTGCTGTGCAAGGCAAGAACAGCTACAGAAGAATTTTGATAGAGTGAAGGTCATTAGGGTGGTACATGCACAATTCTACATCAACAAACATAATAACTTTGAGCTTGTTCCCATTTCAAATGCTAAAAGCAACAGCTCACAATTCAAAAGCTATTTGGACTACAGACTTTTCTGCATAATGAGACTTTTTCTTTGACAGCATCCCTAATGTCAAAGAATAAGTGAGTGTAGGATTCTTGTGCTACCAGTATAACAATTGTTCTACCAGCTGTGATAGGGATCATTTAAAGTACTCTGTAAAACCCATAACCTTCACTCTTTTTACAAATTATTAGCAAGTCTTCCCACATCCCTTCCAGCCCTACCTTTCTATGAATCTATGTCACCTTACAACTTCATGTAGACTATATTCCACAATAGCATGGATTATGAAACAAACGAGTACAATGCAGCAATTATGTTTTCCAGGTTATAGAAGTCTTTTTAAAATGCAAAATATAACCAAGATTTATTAAAAGGATACTTGCAAAATTGGCAGATTCAAAACATATACTTTTCTTCTCTCACCTTCTTAGATCTCCAACAACGACAGTAGACAGCTTTCTCTCCCAGGTCTTCCATGTCAAATGCATGGACTACCTTGGGGTTATCTTTCTGGATATGGAGATTTACCATTGCCTTGCAGCATTTGTCTTTAGAGAGAAATTTCTTGTAAGCAAGGTATCCAACAGCAGCTGCTCCAGCAGCTAGAGAGACGGCAGCAATCCATTCAACTAGAGAAAAAGGAGAAAAAAAAATGTCAAAACCTTTTATGTTTTATTAAATATACTTCTGTTGTTTATTAACTGCACTTCTATTAGACAAGTGTATTAGTGCTTAGGACCTCAGCTACTTTTCAGTATATTTTCCAGTCTTCAATACCCGTCTTCTGACTTCAGCCACTTAGCGCATCCCTTCCCATTTAACAGGGCTTCTCCCTACTCTTCCCTACATGGTCCTTTCATTTAGCCTTTGCTCGTGCAGACATCACCAATGCACAGTTTTGTTAATTGTGTCCTACATCAATTAGCTATTAAGAGATAGCAGGCAACTTCAGCTCCAGTTGTAGAATAGTTCTTTAAAGACAGTCTTTACAATGAAAAGGCACTTAAAAGCTCTTCAGACAGCATCAACAGTGCAGAAGGCAATTCTCATAAAGTTTGCTCATGAAGTTACTCTTCAACAGATAAACAGATCATTTTACCAAAGTGATCCTACGCAGCAAGCCTGACAGTATCAGCTTATATCTAGTCCATACCATTAAAAAAGTTTGGGGGGGGGGGTTTTGCAAGAAAGCACAATTAAAATCCCAATACCATATCAATAAATGAAATATTGATCATCAGTAGCCCAAATGTGCATCTCTCAACCTTTAACCAAAGGAAGTAGGCTGTCACCTATGAAAACATATGCCTCTGAACTTCTATGATGTTGCACTGCCCTGCCTTCAACCTGTAAAAGAGAATTCCATTTGTCTTACCCAGACTGAAGTGCCAAGTTTCTGAAAGATTAAACATGAAGTCTTTCCTTCCTCACTTTAATGTCCAAATGTGATCTTCAAATTTTCACATTCTTCTCCTCTTGCTTCGTATGATTTTTCCTGACTAACCAACTTTTGGTCCTTTCAAACTCTTGTCTTCTCTTTTCGACTTGAAAGACTCTTGAGCTTCTGCAGAACTGCCATAGAGTTCTTTTTGTGTAACACCCACTGCCATTTCTAAACCTGCCCCCACCCCACATGTGCTCAGCACAATTCGAGGAAGAGACCAGTCCTATCCTTTGATAAATGCCTAGTACATAAAAGGCAGTCAAAGCTGCCTCTGCCAATCTACACATAGGATCTGTTCCTGGAAGGCTCCTTCCATGGATTTGGAGTGTTCACATTTGATTGTTTTGATTTTTTTTTAAGTAGTCTCAGACCAGGCATTGCAACCTTGCATATTTATCATTGTTTAGAAGAGACAGAAAGCACATACTAATATAGAGGGAGGTAGGACATGCCACAACATGAATTTAAATACACATCTGCTAATTCTTGGTACTTTTTGCAGGTAATCCACTGACTTGGAGCTGAGCTTTTAGTAGGGGAAATACCAAGACAATACAAACAGATTTTCCCCACCTCATGTCCTATAGCCTTGAAAGTGACACCTCTCTCATAGAAAGTAGAATAAATGTACTTAAGTTCATTTCCCCTGAGAGTAAACATTATGACACTGTAATTAGTTAACTCATGCTAGCTCACAAAATGCCAACCTGTAGGTTTAAGTGACAAAATGTTTATAGTACCACAATAGTTACTACAGACTTTCATTATAAATTTGACTTTCTGAAGGTTTAACACAGGGGTGGGCAAAATGTGGCCCGCCAGGCTATTCTATCCGGCCCACAGGGCCCCTAAAAAAATTTAGAAAATTAACATTAATCGTCCCTGAGCTGCCTGTCATGTGGCCCTCGATGACTTGCCAAAACTCAGTAAGCGGCCCTCTACCCAAAATAATTGACCGCCCCTGGTATAACAGTAAAAGAAAAGAACCTTGTTCATCTGTTTTATAAACAAAGCATAGAAGAATATATTTATACCTTGCAAGTGTCCAGCAATTAAATATCAGATAGACTCTCCCTCCAAAGATTACAAACATTAATAACTTTTATTTTTGCACTTTATGGTATGCAATGCTGCAATGATTAAAATAAAAGGGAGATTTTATAAACTAAAATCTGTTCATATAGAACAAGTTTTCCAGCTTTAAGCTTCATATTAAGAACTGCCGAAATATTATAATCTATTTTCACAGTGAAGAGTAAAGAGCTAAGAGAAGGCAAGAAGTTTTTGGAGAAAAAGGGGATTCTATTTGAACCTAGCAGCACCCTCCCCCAAGGTCAACATCCGAACCCAGCCCTCTTTCCTGCCTATGCAGGGGGTCGGACTCGATGATCTATTGAGGTCCCTTCCAACCCTAACATCTATGAATCTATGAATCCCCAACAGCCTCCTACAATATGAAGGACAGGAAAAAAAAAAAAATGTTGCGGGCAAATATATTCAGGAGTGGCTAGGCTGCAGAAAACGTATTATCTGGGAGGTGGCCAACTCCCATTCCTATAAATTCGTGGACCACCATGTCTGAGTTCCCAACAGAACTAGGCCTATGGTAGGTCTCCTTTAAAATAGATCTCAGAGAAATCTGGATCTGACAGACACAGAGACAAAGTAAAGATCCCCACTTTCCTCTTTGGAGCACAAGGGAAGTAGAAAACAAAAACAAAAAAAACCCAAAAAAACAGCTGAAGGTCAAAGGCAGTACTGCATCAGTTTCAAGAGACTAGAAGTTAAAGGATACTGTGTACCTGCTGAATTTTTTCAACTTCAAAATAGAAGGGCCACCTCCCAGATGCAGCTGCTTTCCCCAGGTTCAGCTCAGCCAATCAAATAAGGACCAAGCTATAACTCACATTTTTCCTGGCTGTTTGACCAGTTCCCAGGTAGTCATTATCTTCTACTTAAGCCAATGGGGAACACAACAAACACTGTAGCCCCAGGGACACTTCTCTTGGCAAGTAAAGGCAATATGGCAAAACAGCTGAACAAAAATTCAACTCTGTCTTGGGACAGAGAAATAAGGAGCTCTCACATAACACTGACTTAAGTCTTTCTGAGAGTCACCATTAAAGAAAGATACATCCTGAAAATACCCCTCAAATCAACAGCAGCATCTAGGAACTAAGCTATTAACTCAAATAAACTTGCATGAGGCAAGGGCTTTTTAGGGGCAATATCTTCAGTTGGGCCAATTGCATGGTTGGAATAAAGTTAAACAAACTTTAGAATGCAAGGCATTTCTTCATCGTGCCTTGCATTCTTAAGCTTGTTGAGCTTTATTCCACCTATGTAGTTGGCCCAATTAAAGATATCGCCCCTAAAAAGCCTTTGCCTCACAATTTCTAGACCATCATGGCTATAGCATCACTAACAGCACAAAAACCTTGCATCACATTCAGGAACACTCCCATAAAAAAAAAAAATAAAAAAAATAAAAACTCCATTGAGATTTTTCAGCTCAGACACTATGAGCCATCAAATACCCAATGACAGGAAGAACCTGCAAGTAGGGAGGAGTGATTTTGGTCAGCAAACAGAAAATTTAATCTTTTGTACTTAAAAAAAAAATAACTAAAAGCCAGAATGAATATAAATGTGTGTGTGCACATTATACATGCACATACTGATTCTTAACGTTTATACTACTATGCTCAAAAAAAGTGAATAATTTTAGGAATGCACCAGTGAAGATTTTCTTGGCCAATACCAATGGCCGATTATTAACCAGCCATATCAGCCGATACCAATCCGACAGCCAGTTTACAAGAACGCAGCCCAGCAGCTTGGAGAGCAGCCTCCTGCCAGTAAATCTGTGGTGGGGAAGGAAGGAGCATTTTGGGAAGGGGGGGCAGATTGAGGCCCCCACAGTGCTGGAGGGAGTGGGGCAGGGGCAGACACTTCACTGCCTTGGCTGGGCATGCAACCCCGGGAGCAAGACAGAGCCATGGGCAGATGGGGACATAGGCCTGGCTCCCTGCTGCTGCATACAACCCCAGGGGAAACAAGGCAGGCATGTGCCCCCTTGGATTTGTGTGTGGGATGAAGACAGGCTGTCCACTGCAGGCACAGGGCCAGAGGCTACACTGGCCTCTTCCTGGTGGGGCTGCGTTTGAGGCAGGCAGGGATGGGGTGCATAGCAGTGGCACTGGGAGAGTTGGCTACAACATACCCCGTAGCCATCCCTCCCAGTACCACTGCCACCTGCCCTAAGCACAGCCCTGGCCCAGCTCCACCACTGGGAAGAGACTAGCATTGTCCCTGGCCCTGAGCCCACAGCAGGCAGCCCACCCTCGCCCCACACAAGTCCAGGGGGCACATGCCCCCCAGGCCTCCCCCAGGGGTCCACTCAGCAGCAGAAAGCTGCCTGCCTCCCCCCATTCCTCCCTCCCACACCCCCTCTGCCCACCCCCGAAACAAGCCACCCGCGGCTCTACCCCACACCCTGCCCCAGGGTTACACTCGCTGTCCTGG